AACAAGTAGACAGTTTATGTGTCAGGGAAGATTGTCTGGGAAATAAATTAATCATTTAGAAACACTCAAAGAGCTTTGTAAAATTCTCATCAAAAACTCAAGAAGTCAAGAAATCATCCCCGATCCCTAAAAAATTGTCTCAAAGGGTAATTTCCCCAGACTGCCCCAGCCCAGCCTGATTGAGGGCAGTTGACAGACACCTGGTGTAACTCTGACCTCCTTATCACAGGAGCTCCATGCACAAGATGCTTGATTCACCCAGAGCAAGCATGTTTTGAAAAGAACCAGTCTTCATTTTGTAGTTAAAGTGGATGTGGATGTCCAGCACTAATTTCAAACTGGACAAAGTAGCTCAGTGTGCAAGGCAGCACTGATCCCTAGCCAGAGAGCTCTCACAGCAAGGCTTTTTCTTAATTTGTATTTTTACTCACTGGTTTTGGCTAACTGTTTGATCCATCTTGCCACTGTTCCAGTGTGTTCCTAGTACCTGCTGCATGATTGGCTTGTGCAGCACTGAGTAGTTCATTGCCATGAACAGGATATCCAGGAGGCAACTTCATTATACAAATTATCAAATGAAATATAAGTGGCTTTTCAACACCCTTCTTGGTCAAGGTCAAATGTTCAGGTCAGGAAGACTGTGAAGCCTTGAAAAAAAATTCCCTGTGATATTGTGTCTCATTAAGTCTTACCACACATATCTAGCTACTCTTTTGCAAAAAAGTTAAACAGCAATACAATATATTTGAATACACTTGTTTCATTTATTGTTTAAAAACAATAAATATGTCCCTATCTACTCTCTGTATGCAGAAACAGGAATTATTGGCATAGTTAGCAAAGCCTTTGGTTTCATTTTACAAAGATGATGTAACTGGCTGTTATACACCAATCTGGAACTTTCTCACAAAACTGGCCCTTTTCATGTTTCTTTCTCATGCCCCATAGTCTTCTAAGCTGTTAAATGATAACTAACAAAACTATGCTGTTGAATTATTAACCAAGCCATAGCTTTCCTTGTTTCATGGTTAATTTACTTCATACTTTCAAGTGAACTTGTGCCTGGTTTCCAAATACTGGAGAATGGTTGCAAATCTAACCTAACAGAAACAAGCTTTGCATCAACAAAGCTTAGTGACTTATTTTTTGTTACTGTTTTAAACTAGATTTGATAAAACAGGAAAAATTTGCCTGCATGATTTGCTTTCTGCATGAATGGTTTTAAAAAATATACAAATGATGGATCAAAAGTTACAGAACTAATCAATCACGTTTCCTAAAACAGATGAAGTTTCACAATGCTTCAGTGGCAAGACAATATTTCAAAAATCAAGTGAAGATGAGAGCCATTTACTTAAAAATTTTCCACTGCCAACTTCAAAGTTAACTCATAGCAATACAGGAAGAAAAAAAAAAAAAAAACAACAAAAAAAGAACTATCATGATTCTACTGCAGGCATATTTGAACCTGCCGGCACAAAAAGTATTGATTTCAACTGAACTAAATTTCATTCTTTCCTTGGTTTTTTATTACTCCACTTTGAGATTATCCAGGGAATACATGTTGATACCTACCATATTTCTGAAATACTTTATCTTGAATTAGAAGCAGAATCAAATTTTTCAAAAACTGGACTGGATCCAAGAATTTATGTCAAAAAAAATGAAATGTTTTAGATTTTAGCATTCAAGTAATTGATTTCGAGTGAACAAAAGCTAACTAGCTTCACAGGTCTGCCTAATATGTGAAGTTTAGAAACAGAACCAAGGGCTTCCTTTAGGCAAAGTGGGACTCATGCTACTGAAGCAATTCCTCAATACATAGGATCTAAGCAAAGTGTTCTTTTGCCACTTGCTGCAGGACTGAGAACTGGAACACATTTCTCTAAGATGAGGGAAAGGATACAAAAGTTATTTAAAGACTGGGTCCTAAGGAAAGATTACTGAGAAGATTGAACTATTGATCTAATTCTCCTCCTTGCCTCCCACTAACCTGATCTCTCCAACAATTTTGTTCTCATTAGGAAATTTCAGCATCATTCATCAGAGAAGAGACAAGAGGCAAACACTACTTGTTCTGAGAAAATTTGCTGCTGTGCAGAGGACACAAGGCCTAAGTCATTGCTTCTAATGAGGGAATGACTAGAACTCTGAGCTCTGTTTTTAAGTCTGGCTGACTCAGTTGAGTAACCAAAACATGCATACACCTTTGAAACAGCTATTGCATGAGCTGTGACCTGCTCATCCTCCCTAGCAGCAGAAAGAGACATGAGGACACCCTCACATGCATGCATATGAAAGGAAGAAGGGGTAGGGAGAAAGCACACACTTATTTAAAGACTGTCAGTGTACTGGTTTGCAGATCTCCCAGCTTGTGCCCAAACCATCCACCAACTCCCAGTGTAGTGAAGTTCCCTCGCTAAAGAAGAAGGTCAGACCAAAATTCCAAGGGTCACTCAGGAAGACGTGCCTAGCCCTGTGTAAGAGTGAGCCAGCAGGAGCTTTAGCCAAATGCAATAGCCCAAATGGCTCAATCAGCCATCCAGCTGGCTCTCAAACACCTTTGAATGAACTGGACCCATGCTAACCCAGGGATTGCAATACTCATGATGAATATTGAATGGGAATGAATGATTGCACCTTGATTGCTGCGTCCAGTTCTGGCCTCCCAGTTTGGGAAGGATGTTGAGACACTTGAGCATGTCCAGAGGAGGCAATAAGGCTGGTGAAGGGCTTGGAACACAACTTCTGTGAGGAATGGCTGAGGGAGCTGGGGGTGCATAGCCTGAAGAAAAGGAGGCTTAGGGAGACCTTATCACACTCTACAACTTCCTGAAGGGTTGTTGTAGTCATGAGGAGGCTGGTCTCTTCTTGTAGGAAATCACTGACACAACAAGAGGACAAAATCTTAAGTTGTGCCAGGGGAAGCTTAAGTTGACATCAGAAAAAAATTCTTCACTGAAATAGTAATTGGACACTGGAATCATCTGCCCAGGGAGGTAGTGGAGTCACTGTCCCTAGATGCGTTAAAAACAAGACTGGATGTGACATTCAGTGCTATGGTTTATTTGATGAGGAAGTGTTAGGTCATAAGTTGGACTTTGATGATTTCAAAGGTCTTTTCCAACTAATTCATTCACCTTCCTGAAGGGTGGCTGTGGTGAGCTGGGGGTCGGTTTCTTTCTCTGGGCAACAACAGACAGAACAAGAGAACAGAGTCTCAAGCTGCGCCAAGGGATATACAGGCTAGAATTAAGGAGGAAGTTTTTCACAGAAAGAGTGGTCAAATACTGGAATCATCTGCTCAGGGAGGTGGTGGAGTCACCATCCCTCGATGTGTTTAAAAAAAGACTGGATGAGGCACTTGGGGCCATGATCTAGTTGAGGTGTTAGAACATGGGTTGGACTCGATGATCTTAAAGGTCTCTTCCAACCTAGAAATTCTGTGATTCTGTGATTCCGTGAGTCTGTGATTCTGTTATTCTGTGATCATGGAATCCTCTTTCCAGGCATGATAATACCATTTCCCTGTGTGGGGAACCACCAGTACCTAGAGAAACCCAGAAACTTCTGATAGCTCTTGATGATCTGCTGTGGGTGGGACCTCTAAGATACTCACTCCAGGAGTAACTACTATACTTTATTCTCTACTGAGCTTTTAAGTCAAGAGCCCCTTTTTATTAATACACATAAATCCAAAGACTATAGTAATAAATGCAAGCTTTTCATCCACTGCTTGGGGTCTGCTCGTAACAAAAGACAGAGAGTGAAGAAAAACAGAAAGCAAGCAGGTCCAAACCTACCCATAGATTCATATTCTTATATTTTATTTTCTGACAAATTTGACTCCGAAATTATTAATGTCATGATTTCTTGTGTGTCTCATTGGGAACATGGACCCAAGCCTCCATGCTTGCAGGCTCAGCCTAAGAGATACAAAGCATACAGATACATACCAGCTGAAGTCCTTTCCCCAGACCAATATCAACCTTGCACTCCAGCTGTGTATGTGGCTCTTACTCATAGGCAAAAGCCATACACTGAAGAGTAGGTGATGAGGGTATATTGAAGATTATTGGAAGCTAATATATAGGCAGTTGGGCCCTCGGATTAGCTGATAGTCACGCTCTTTACTGCACAGTTGATTTAAGCCATGCCTTGCAATCAATCCACGTCTCTTGTACCAGCTCATGGCAGCAATGCATTTTCAAGGAAAAATGGTGGCAAGTCCTATATATGTAACAGAGAAGTCTATTCATCCATGGTATTCTATTTTCAACAGTTGCTTCATACGCAAGTACTTTAAACTATACACTGGTGCTACTTCAAAATCTCTGGGATTAAAGACATGAACTAAAGGCTTATTCAAGTCATGTTGAAACATAACAGGCTGTGAGTCTGAACACAGTCTGACAACTAGTCTAATACAGATATTAAAGTTATTTTTAGGAATCTAGCATATATGGCCTACATTTAAGGTTAGAGTGGGTAAATCTCAAAGTTACTTCAACTCCTCTCACTGTACTGCATCTAGCTGCTTTCATATCAAGGAGGACTTTTCAAAATACAGATTGTTAGTAGGCTGGTAAATTGTTTCACAACTAATCTTGGATGGTGCATGTGCTGACATCACAGGGATAGGCTTATTACCCTCTTAAAACTTTGCTCAGACCAGCAATCTATCCTTTGTAGTTCAAATATTTCAAGCTGTGATAATAGCTTTTTTTGCAAAAGGGATGCCTAAATATCCACCTTTGAGAATGAGAACATAATTACTAATGGACATACTTCCAAAAATCACCAGCTCTTCAGATGTTTTCTGTGAATTTCTTTTTCAGAGACACTTAAACACATTATCTACCATTAATCCCAAATGCTGTGGCTCAGTATCAACACTTTTGAAGAGACAGAAGCTGAAGGAAAATAAGGAATAAAAAATTTGTCAACTGAACTCCCATGCCAAATGAATGTTACAGTTAGAAAACTACAAAATCACTTACACTGGAAAAGACCTCTGAGATCATCAAGTCCATCCAACCTAAAAGCTCCAATTGTCAAGCTGTAAAAAAAAAAAAAGAACATGTGTTTAATGTGAATACAATTGGTTCAGAATATGCAAAAGCCAACGGCTGGCCAGCTGGATATGAGCAGAAAATCTTGGGTTTATAAAATACCTGACAACTGAGTGAACTTGCTTCCCTTTCTCTGCATCTATATTATCATAGCATCTGAAGTGATGAAGGTACAAGCTGAGCTATTACAAAAAATATTTCATACCTCTGTAGTTTTTTTCACTACAGAAAAAATGAAACTTCTTCACAGCAGAAGATCTCTGTTTGGTGCATGAGTACATCAACTTTACCTCAAAAACTGCTGGGACTTTTTCCCAGGTAAATAGTGGCTACTTCAGTTTCCAAAATTTGGGTATGATAATGTCAAAATTGCTCTATATTGGATTTCTAGATAACATCCACCTCAAAAGCTGGGCTTGTCAATTGAAATTATAAATGCCTCTGAAAATTTGGGTTGCTTTGTTGAGTCAGTCCTCAGAAAAAATGGACATCTGTCTCCTCTGGGAAAAAAAAACATTTCCATTTGCAAGATTTCTAGTTTCCAGGAGCCCTATAACAATTTCTTAGCAGGGTACTTGAAAAAGAAGACTAAAATTTCATATTACTTCGAAAACCTCCAAGAGTTTTCAAGATCATTTCAGCCGAATGTTGAGCTGGCAAAGAACAGGAGTCCCAGTCACACAGAGGCAGTACAGTTACTCAGGATAGTGCATATCAATATCTGACAGCTGAGTACTTGAATGTGAAACCAAACCTGAAAGAAAAACCAGCTATAAGGAGTAATTCTCTAATGCAAAATCCATAGTGCTATGTTTCAGGCACTGCTTGCAGCCTTGTTTATCTTAACTTTCCCTTATTTTTTAAATGAAGTGTCACAAATGGCACAGAGTTCTCAAGATCATTACAAAGTGGAAGATTAATTCTCAATTACAAAAAATACGTCCAAACAGACAAAGGTGTCTTCAGGCCAATAAGCCAATTTCTTTTGTCTATAAAATGTAGTTACGAGTATAACAATGTTTCCTGGGGATAGAACTTTGTCCTTGTTCGACTCTCATTTGTCACCACAGAGGGCACACACAGAGTACAACCAGCAGCCAAGCCTCACCCAAAGTACAAGCAGCACCAGCAAAGAGCACTTTCAGAAACAGAAATGAGTGCATAAAATTTTTGTAATATATTACTGTCACTAAATACCATAATTCATAGGTCCAGCCACATCAATGTAATTTCCTGATTTTACTTTAAGAAGATCTAACTTGACGCCTAGCAGCATTGATTTTTACACCTTAATTATATGATCCCATGGTAAGCTTTTCTGCTTCCAACCAATTTTAGCAGAATTTTTTTTCATTACATCAATATCTCCTGATATTTTAGTTCCTGAACAAATAACATCCTTCTGCTCAACTAATCTACATAGTATAGTCTACGTCGTGATTATTTTCACATCATATTTGAAGGTGTTATTCAGGTCAACAACTGACAATGACAGGAGATAATAAAAAGTCTGCTCAACATTTCAAACACTTCTTTATCAACACATCAGTATTTTAAAATTAATATGTTCGTGCTGCTTCATGTTAGGATGAAGGACTTTTAATGATCATCTACACTAACAGCAACTCAGATTTCTTTGTTCAGGCCCTATCTTTTGGTACTGGGATAAACACTGTGAGCAGGTAAATTGTGCATATGTTACTTTACCCTGGGCAACCAATCCTTAAAAAAAATGAAAAGAAAGAAGGAAAGAAGGAAAGAAGGAAAGAAGGAAAGAAGGAAAGAAAGAAGGAAGGAAGGAAGGAAGGAAGGAAGGAAGGAAGGAAGGAAG